CTCCGATGGTTCTACCTGGGGAGGGTGTTTGCCGTGCACACGTCTGGGTTGCCTCATGGCACCCCGGGCCTCTTAGGCAAGTCCCTCCGTGTGTGACTCGGTCCCCGCGTTACCGAGCAGCTGTTCAATAGAAGGAAGACAAGAAAACCAACCAGTGACTTTCCTTTTCCTGGTGGAACCCTGGCTTACCCGCACGGCCATGTCCATAGCGCGGGGCTGACGGGCTGGGCCTCGGGGAGGGGGAGGTACAGAGAATCTCATGGCGTTTCTGTGACGCGGAGAAAACAAGACTTTGGCCATTGAGGTAATGATGGCTGCCTGTGGCCGGGAGAAATGGGAGAAAAATGTGTCTTGGCCCTGGCTGGTGTGGCCCAGTGGATAGAGCACCGGCCTGTGGACTGAAGGGTCCCGGGTTCGATCCCGGTCAGGGCCCATGCCTGGGTCGCGGCTCAGTCCCCAGTAGGGGGCGTGCAGGAGGCAGCCGGTCCCTGCTTCTCGCTCATCGTGGGGTGTCTCGTCTCCGCAGGCATGGAGAAGGTGAACTTCTCGGGCGGGGAGCCGTTCCTGCAGGACCGCGGGGAGTACCTGGGCCGCCTGGTGAGGTTCTGCAAGCAGGAGCTGGGCCTGCCCAGCGTGAGCATCGTCAGCAACGGCAGCCTCATCCGCGAGCGCTGGTTCGTGAAGTACGGTGAGCGCCCTCCCTCCCGAGGCCCGTCCCCTGCACGGCTGCATGTCCTTCCTCCCTGGGCCGGGCCAGGCCTGCGGGGCCGGGACCGGGACCAAACAGGCCCGTTCTAATCTCTTCGTGAGCTGCGTGTGGAGTTAACGGCAGTGAGTTCTGCAGGGCTCCCGTAAACGTGTGTGCGCGGGCAGATAACAGCACTCGTGAGCTCAGCTCCTCGGGGGCCGGCCAGGGTGGCGAGCAGGGGGCTGGCTCCAGCTTCCCCACCGGCAGGCAAGCCCCACCTTTTTGCTTGTTTGCTATCACCCTTAAGTCTCCTAGAAAGTAAGCGACTGGCCTGGCAGCATGGCTCAGGGGCTGAGCATCCACCTGTGAACCAGGAGGTCACGGTTCGATTCCCAGTCAGGGCACAGGCCCGGGTTGTGGGCTCCATCCCCAGTGGGGGGCGTGCAGGAGGCAGCCTGTCAGTGATTCTCTCCCATCATGGATGTTTCTCTCTCTCTCCCCTCTCCTTCCTCTCTGAAATCAATTTTATATATATATGTGTGTGTAATATGCTAATTAGACCAGATGTCCTTCCGGACGACCTTCCAGACAAAGCCGGGCTGTGAGGGAAGCCCGGGTCCTGGGTGCCAGAGGGAAGCCAGTGCCAGCAGCCAGGGGAAGGAAGGCCTACTCTTGTACGAATTTTGTGCATTAGGCCTCTAGTAAAATAATAAAAGTGTAATATGCTAATTAGACCAGACAACTGAATGACCTTCCGGATGTCCTTCCGGATGACCTTCCAGACGAAGCTGGGTCTGTGGGGACTGAGCCCCTTGCACAAATGTCATGCACCGGGCCCCTAGTGTATATATATATGAAAAGATGGAGGTCTGCAAAGCTCGTAGATCCAACAAACTGACCTCCCTGAGAAGTGAGTGAGACCTGGAGGGCGTGCTGGCAGGAGCTCACACTCACACACTCACACACACACACACACACACACACACACACACACGGGCGGAGAGTTTCTCTCGCGTGTGAACATCGCTGGTGTCCTGTGAGGTGCCTTCTTTTCTAAGACTATTTGACCGAGTTGTCGCACATTATGTGAGTGCTGGGGGGTGAGGGCACACAGTGTTTAAACAACGAAAGCGAACGCGTAACGCAGGTCTGTTTCATCCCGAGGAGGTGGGAGCCGCCGACAGGGCTGGGTCCTCGGCGGAGAGCTGACCGCCGCCCTTTCCCGCAGGCCAGTACCTGGACATCCTCGCCATCTCCTGCGACAGCTTCAACGAAGACGTGAACGTCCTCATCGGGCGCGGCCAGGGGAGGCTCAACCACGTGGAGAACCTCCGGAAGCTGAGGCGCTGGTGCAGGGAGTACCGCGTGGCCTTCAAGATCAACTCCGTCATCAACCGCTTCAACGTGGACGAGGACATGCGCGCGCACATCCAGGAGCTGAACCCGGTGCGCTGGAAGGTGAGCGCCAGCGGCTCGCCCACGGTCCCTCCGCACCGTGTGGGCGGGAACAGCTTCGGGGAAGTGGAGATGGTGAGCGTGCAGCTCTGAGCTGCAGCACCAGCCGGGACCAGGGTCCTTCTTTTTTTAAAAATATATTTTTACTAGCGGCCCAGAGCACGAAATTCATGCACGGGTAGGGTCCGTAGGCCTGGCCAGCGATCAGGGCCGATCTCTGGACCAACCGGCAGGGCGATCGGGGGGCCCCCGCTGGCACCTGCCTTGGCTGGACTGGCACCACCCACTCGCCCAACCCACCCCCTGCTGCTGCTACAGGTTGGGGCCTGCAGGCTGGGGGCAGCTCTGTGTTGAGCGTCTGCCCTCTGGTGGTCAGTGTGCATCATAGTGACTGGTTGTTCCACCAGTCATTCCACCATTCGGTCGATTTGCATATTAGGCTTTTATTATATAGGATAATTCTCTTCTTCAGTTGAAACAGGAGCTTTGAAATCAGTAAAGGCAACTTCCCCCTCCAACCCTCTTAGTCTAGGACCAGCCCCCTTGGAATGACTTAGTGAGTCTCCCTCAGAAGAGGAAATCATCTTGGAATCACTATGGGTGGCTTTCCCCTGGACCCCAAGCATAGTTGTCACCTTCCTAAACCTATGCTCCTGGGACCTCTGGGCCAGGCTGGTGCTAAGCTCCAGAGCACTGAGAAATCGAGCTTGGGACACAGGCTGCAGTAATGGGTCCGGCATCCTCACTGCCAGGACTGGCACCCCCTGTGTAGGACAGGATCCTAGAGACAGCACACGACTGGGAGAAACACTGGCAGAAATGGACCAATAAAACTGCACTCTAGCTGTCTCAAATGTGGAGGCCAGCCCCTCCCCTTTGGACTGAGTTAGCTTCTGGGATTCTTGGACATTGCAGGGAAAGAGTAGACTCCCTACTGTCAAGGTTTGGGGAGAAATGGTTAAGTAATTGTTTTGCAACATAGGAGACCCTAGGTATTTAGAATTTGTGATGCAGGTCATGTAGATTATATTTGGAATGGAAAAAACTTGGGGCTTGAGAAAACATGAATTGTATTTCCTAACCCCAATCTCCCACCTCCTAACATGAAGCTCTGTCTTCTGTGACTTCATGCCAATGTCCTTGCTCAAAGCCAGCTCCTCTTCTGCATCCTAGTTCCAGCTTGGCAACTCTTGGCACAGAGGTGCCTGAGCTTTCTTATCTCTACCTTTTGCTTTAACTCTCTCCTATTCCCAGTTCTCTTTGTTTTCCAATAGTCTCCCTGAGGAAGGACTTGCAAGTTGTAGATTTAGAAACCAAACTCTGTAGTTGCTGAAAACATCTGCAAAAAAAAATTCCACATGAATCCAATTTTGCAATCGAACTCACAGTGCCTAGAATCTATTTAGAGCCCATTTGTAGCACCTATTTCCCAAACCATACTCTCCTCCGATCCCCTATTATGATATTTACTGAAAGCATTAGGGGACTAGACTATATTTTTGTGATATTTTAACTGAATCATTAATGTAAATCTGAATTATCCATCCAATAAGATATACATGTCAATTGGATGTTTGATTAGTTGGTTACTTATGGAATATATGCATATAATGTAAATTAAACATATTGAATACAAAACCTAGTATATAGTTTACTTAGGTTCAGAGTCTCAATAAAATTTTTAGTAAGATTAATGTGAATTTTAGAAATAATACTCATAACTTTAAAATTAATTAATTTTCATTAGAAGAAATGAGGCCTCATCTAGCATGATAGTATTTTTCATGGAAGCATGAAATTGCATGTGTAGAAGACAAGAGTGAATTTTAAACAGCCTATTTTAAATAGGGTAAAAACTCAGCATAATTATTTTCTGTACACATTATTAGTCATATTATTCAAAGCACAGGGGCAAAAGAGTTAATTTTAAATTAAATAAATACTTTAAATATATTTAAATAACAAACCTAATTAAATACACACTTGCTAAAGTTTATTCCTTTTGTTAGAATTTTTCTTTTAGAATTCAAAATAATGTCCAATTTCTAACAAATCCAATTTTTAAAATCCTAACGGTTGACATTTGGCATTGAAGAGCTATTTTATCATGAGTTTTATATTAAATGTGTTTTATATTAAAATATAAAATAAGTGAACATAGTAAGATCATTAAATACATGCATTAACAAATATCACATACAGTGGGGCCTTGACTTACGAGTTTTTTGAGATATCAGCTGTCTCTCCACCGATTTTTTGCATTGAGTTGACAGAGTAATTTGAGTTAAGGAGCTCCTTAACGAGCTTGATCTCGGAACGAATTAAACTCGTAAGTCAAGGCCCCACTGTATTTTAAAGTGATACCTGCAAAGATGTTTATGAACATGCAGCAACAAATGACCAACAAGCCATGAAGTTCCGAACACTTCTCATGTTCCCTTTAGAGAAAAGTGTCTATTGGTGGTCCACTACAATTATGTTACCCCCACATCACTTTGGCCACAACCAATTAGAACAGGGCTGGTCCTGAGCAAAAGGCAACTTGCAATAGGACAGCCTATCATGCTGCCTATGTAAGAACTTATCTGAGAGGACACTCCTTATTTGATAACAACTAAAGAAGCCAATCAGATGGTGGTTCTATAAAATGCAACTCAGTGGAAATATATCATGTGTAGCACTTCCCTGTGGCAGGAAGAAGAGTTCTCATGTATCTGTTCCCCTGTCACATGGCTTTCCATATGATGGCACTTCCCTGAGTCTGACTTTGTGGAGCAGTAGCCTTCCATCTCTCCTGCACCCCGTCTCCCTGCCAATTGGCACTGAACCTCCAGCACGAGAAATAAAACTTTGCTGTGTTAAGCCTTTGAGAACTTTGGGTTTATTTATTATTGAAGCATAACCTATTATCTCCTGGAAGTGAAGTGCTGTATTAAAAAATAAATTGTGTAGTGCTGACTTAATAATTGGCAACATGTGTTTAGGAGACTGTTATCTAAGGGGGGAAAGATTCCATGTTATACAGTGGTAAAACACTTGCTAAAATATTCATCTACGATAACTTAGGAATTAGATCGTATACATAAGGATTTCACATCTCTGGGGGGAAGTGTGTGAAAAACAAAGTGTTAGTAGGATGTCTAGGTTATTATTTGATGCATTTTTCAAAATAGCAAAGAAAAAAGAAAGAGATGAGTGATTTCATAAGTAGAAATAAAAGAAAATAGAGACTTCCAGGAATCCAAGACCTTGTCATGTTTGACTATCCAATTAATTTTTGCTCCCAAAGAAAACAGATAAAATTAGGAAAGCATGGGAGAAAAGGTTCATTAAAGCCAAATATTGTTGGCAAGAATCAGATTAAGGATGTGACCTTCATGTTTACTTAAAACCTCCTACTGGTTTACAATTTCTGGAAGGAAAAATCAGATAAAGAATCTGGCTTTACCACTTACTACTCCAGAGATGCTCAAATATATTGAGAAAAATGTGGGGATAAAAAAAGCAAATAAATATAGTAGATCCAAGGTCTATATTTCCAAAGAAGTATAGTGTGGCTACTGGAAAAATAAAACTGATTGTCAGACAGACAATGCACCTCTACAGACTTCAGAGAATTATACTTCCAGGGGAACTATGACCTTGGAATTAAAAACCTGTGAGCCTTACATAATTGAAATAACCCGTGGACCCCCAATCTCCTATGAAAATGAAGTGAACTGAAAACCCTGGCAACCCCTAAGGAGGTTGAGGTATACATATGTATTTAAAAATGTATGCACCCACCCTACATGGAAATTGGCTGGATGTGAACTAAATTCAACCTTATACTTTTTATGTCACTACAAAGGAAATGGGCTACTTTACTAAGCATATAGCTACCCTTGCCCAGGACATAGTAGAATATGGCAATTTAGGGTAATTCCAGCTTAATGGTGCAACTCTAAATGTGGTAACTTTGAATAAGTAAAATGTGAGGTCTATTGATACCATCCAGTTCCCAGCTGGGAGAAACACCTGACCGGCCACATCAATGATGGAGCAATGGCGACTTTGGCTCCCTGAATCTCTCCTACTGTGGGGGTAAGAGGATTTTTTTTTGTTGGTTTTTGTCTGTTTGTGTGTTTTGTTTGTTTTTT